CTGTGTCATGTCGGCCCCTCTCTTGGTACTGAGGGAATGCCCTCAGAGGACAGGCCTAACCTCTCCTGTGCTCTGGTCTGGGAGTCAGGACTCCTGGATTCTCTTCCTACTGACTCACAGCACCACCAGAGCCAAGCCCGAGCCTATCTCAGTTTCCCCTTGTGTCACAGGGAAATGGTTCTGTCCTCTCTCCTGGCCTGAGGGGAATGGATGAAGGGGAAGATGTGAGCCGAGGGCAGGGGACTCTGGCTGGGAGTGTCAGGGAGCTAGGAGGGCTAAAGAGAAAGGCCCTGGGATGGTGTCAATTCCTGAAACCACTCAAGCTCCCACCCTTCTTATGGCTGAAAAATAGGAAGGGACTGGCTTTCCCTCCTGATCTGGGGCTAGCGTAATCCCCAGATCAGAGCTTACCTTGGTCATGAGGGACCCTAAGTCTCTCAGTCTCCAAAGGGGCTTGAGGACTGCCCATTGGAGAGTCAGTAGGCGAGGAACTGACCAGGTCCGCACCCCGCCCCCCCCCCCCGACCCAGCGACATATATCCTGGATGCTCACTGAAGCCATTTGCAAAGGGCTGAGTGCTCTCACTGGCAGTTCCTGAGGGCCCAGACCTGGCATCAAGGTCACCCAGCATGTGGATGTTGGGGTCCTCAGTCCTGACAGGAGGAGGAAAGGCCAGCTGAGCTGGGCTGGGCTGCTGTGGGTGGCCTGAGGCAGCATGATGTGGGGTCTCTGGGCCAGACCAGTTGTGGCCAGGAGGGGGAGGGGCTGCTGTTTGTTGATGCTAGGTCTGGGCCCCAGCCAGGGCAAACAGCCCCGAGGCCTTTCCCCTGCCACCTGCCGAATCTCCCAGCCCAGCCTGTGGTGGCAGGACAGCTGGCAGCCAGGATGGGACTCAGAGCTGCTGGACACCTTCTCCTGGGGACCAGAGGGAATGTCATTGATGTAACACAGTGGTGGAGTTAGCCATCAGGAGTGGAGGGCCGGGAGGGTGCTTCATCTCAGTCCTCAGCCCAACCCCCACCCCTAGTCCCCCATCTCCAGAAACTAAGACATGGGCCCAAGACACGGCCAGACACATGAAGCAGAACTTAGGGTCCCAGGATTGCTCAGACTCTCCTTCCAGGGTCCTGGCAGCCCTCTGCTCTCCTCCTCCCTCTTCAGTCATGTCTCCTCAGCCTCCATCTAGGTGGCTTCCTCCCACCGTGTCACCACCTCCCCTGGCACATCATCCACATGGTGCCCCAGGACCCTTCCCCAACAGTGAGCCCCCATCTTCACCTCCAACCCAGTCGTCCCAGAGCCCAGCATCTGTGCCCACTGACTTCTCAGACACTCTGCAGGGCCCTGCCTCACACTCAGCTGGCCTCCTGGACACCTTCCCAACTGGCTTCTTGTCCCAGTTGGCCTCCCCCACCCCACCTGGCTGGCCACACATGTTCCTGTTGTTCTCAGAACATGCCAGTCTTCTCCTCTCCCTGACCCTCTGACCTCCTAGTTCCCCACCCTGTCCCACCTCCTCATCGCCCTCACTTGTCCTTCTACACCTCAGAGAGGCGGCCTCTGAACAGCCTGGCCAGCTCTTCCTGTACTTCACGTGGCCCCTCTTGCTATCCCACCACGCAGCCTGTGTCTCCAAGAGCTCCCTCTGGGTTGTCTAGACAGGAAAGCTCCTGCCAGGTTGGAGGGCGCGCATCAGGAAAAGCCTGATGGAGAAGCAACCTGTGGGCTTGGCTCTGCCAAGGGGAAGAAAGGTACATGCCAGGGTGGGGAAGACAAAGGGCATTTGGATAGAGGAAACAGTCCGACTACAGGAAAACGTGAGTATGAGCGTGCAATTTGCAACAGTAGGTGGTGTGCACGGGGGCAGGACATGCGGCATGTGGGGGGTTTTAAGGCCTCATAGGAGAGGAGGGTTCTCACCTCCACGTCCTAGCGTTGAGGACCCACACTCAGAGCTCCTGACTATACTCTGTCCAGGTTGGTGTCTGGGAGGTTCCTCTTCAGGCACAAGTAGGGGTTTAGTTGGTATAATACAGGGTGTGGAACCCCGTGAGGGACCCATAGACAGACAGTCCCATCTAGCCCTCCCCCAGCCTGGGTCCTCAGAGCTGATGACCTCTTGGCTGAGGCCCGCTCCCACAGTTCTGGCATGCCCTCCCTCTCTCCCGAGATCTGGCCCCCAGCTTCTCTGGCCACTGAAGCGGCTTAATGAGCCCAGGTCACGTGGGTTATGCTACTGCCTGTGGGGAGGGCCCGAGGCCCTAGTGGCCACCCGACCAGGCCCTGACGTCAGCGGCATTAACCGTCCACCAGGCTTGTCTAATCTCTGGTCTGTGGCCGGGCCAGGTTAGTCCCGCCAGAGCCAGAGCTGAAGGCCAGGAGAGCCCTCGAGGGCACCTTGAGGTTGCAGGTCAGGCAGGGATGCTGGTGAGCGGGGGTGCCCACAAGTGGTAAATGACCCTTACCTACAAGACTAGGGTGCGGCCCCTATGCTGCCTCGGTCCGGCTCTGATCCCCTGCCCTCGAGGGTGACTCAGGCATTGAACACCCATTGACTCTGCTCCTTAGGGTGTAATTACAGATGCGGTGAGTGGGGCCTGAGTGGGGCCGGGGAGGCTCAGAGCTGGGGGACTCGGCCCCCCCCCCCCCCCCCCCCCCCCAACCCCAGACCCCAGCATATTTGTGGCCATAGGCAGGGCAAGCCCAAGCCCATGGGATCCAGGAATCCCAGTCCTGAATCCCCGACCCTGGGGTCAGAACTGTCTGTGGAGGGGACTCCCTGGAGAGTGGGATCCAGCCCCTGTCTGGTGTATGGGCTTCTCTCTGCCCAGACTCAGGAAGGCTGGGGAGCTCATTACTTTTCTTCCAAGACAAGATGACTGTGTGGAAGACCCCATTAGCCCACCTCGCCTTATAGCCTCCTCCCTTCCAAGCCTACCACTCCCAGCTCCTCAAAGCCTCTTGTCTTCCGCCTTGTCTCTCCCCACTAAATCCTGAACTTACTCCTCTCACTCTAGTAAACTGCTCTGTCAGAGGGTCCTTAGTGGAGGTGAGCAGCCTAGCTCAAGCGGGACCAAGACCACCTGGTGAGGGTCCGAACCCCAGCCTCCCCTCGGGCCCAAGCCCCATCTTCCTCTCTGGCCTCTGAGCAGCACCAGCATGGCTGAGTTCCCTAACCCATCCAGGGTCCCTCTACCACCACACTGTGCTCAGGCCTGGGTGCCCTCACTCCCCCTCTCTCCATCTCACTTCCGGCTCACAGCTCTGCCCTCCTCCTTCTGCTAGGATAGCACGGATTCCCCAGCCCTGCTGCTCTCTGCCCTCATACCCTTTCACACTGGCCCCCAGGGGAAAAAAATGTGTGTCCCTACATACCTGTTTTCATGAAAATAAATTTTTTTTTCATGAAAAATCTTAATGATTGTTTTTTTTCCAGAAACAAGAGTTGTAAAATATTATTGATCATTTTATTTCCATTAAAGCCAGGAAAAGAAGATTATAAATTGTTTCAGATATAGACAAAATAGCTAAGCTTAAAATAATGTTGAGTTTGAATATATCTACTTTCAAATCTTTTTTCAACTAATTTAATATTCTATTAAAAAATTTACCATTAAAAATACATAAAAACATATATAGGAATGGACATTTTCCTTCTGCTTCGGGCTCCAATATATAGCTCAGCAGGGTTCTCTTGGATCTTGTCTTTATTTAAAATTTTGATATTTTTTCATCATGGGTTTTTTGCAGTGATTTGTTTGTTTCTTTCTCTTTTTTTTTGAGTAGGTCATGGGACTTGAACTCACAACCCTGAGATCAAGAGTCACATGTTCTACAGACTGAGCCAGCCAGACTCCCCTGCAGTAATTTTGAATTTTAAAAGTACTGCATTCATAAATTCTTTATCTTGATTACTGAACTTTTTGGCACCACCTTACATTTTCACCCCAGGTGAGTGCCTCTTTTGCTTCACCCGAATCCCAGCCCTGCTATTAGGTCCTAGCTTTAAGGGCCTCTAAGACCCATTAGCTTCTGGAGGAAGCCCAGGCCCTCAGGCTGGCACTTGGCACCCGCCCATTTTTTCCCCACCCCATGTCCCCTTTGCCTGCTCTTGCCCTATTGAGCTATGGCCCACAAGCCCTCCTTTCTGGGCCTTTTACCCCCTACTTTCCCTGACAGAATAAGCTTCTACCTCAGAACTCCATCTTGATCCAAGATTATCCCTGTGAACCTTTCCCATGGCTCCTTTCCCCTTAAAGCCCTCTCTCTCGAGGCCCCGGTTGGTCCCATGCCCCCAGGATCGCTCCTGCCATGCCAGGCCAGGTTCTTCTCCCTGGAAGTTTCCATCTTCCCATTGATGTCCAGCCCAGCACTGGGCACTTAATAAATGCCCATGACTCGTGACAATGAACGCTTTTCCCTTCCCCACAAGAAAGGACAGCTGGGGCCTGATGCAAAGATTTATTGCTGAGTCTGCATCTACCTGAGGGGAGTGTGGACTGTCCTCTGGCCTTGAGAGATGGAAGCCCCTGTCCTCGACTTAGCATAAGTCCTGGCTCTCAGGCCCCAGCGAGGACTTGGGGCTTGATGAGGAACTGGGAGCAGGGGTACAGGGACATGGGCCTCTGTCCCTGACAAAATTTGGACATGGCCCTCAGCTTTTCCTGCCAGGGAAAGGGCCCTGAAAGGAAAGGGTGAGAGAAGTTGCTGGCAGGGATGGGAGGATTACCTGGATTTGCTTGTGACCCCACCTGAAGTAGACCCCTCTGGGCCCAACCTGGGCCTCAGTCATGTCCCAAATCCTCTGCCTGGAGCTGATCGATGGAGCTGGACTCTGCCCCCAGCCACCCCTCAGGACAGTTTGACCATTGGCCACAGCGGGTGTCAACAGTACCCTCCCTCAACAGACCATCCCCTTGGCTGGCTGGCCTGAAGCGCTATGGGTGGGTGGGGGTCAAGTAGGACATGGATTGGGTGTCCAAGGATGGAGGGGGCAGAGCCTGTGGGGGAGGGAAACAGGGGGTTACTTGGAGCCTGCTGTGTGGGGAAGGGTCCAGCTTAAATCTCTTCCTGACACCCAGGGGCTCCCAGGCGTGCCCCCCACTCACTAATTCATTCATGTGGGAGCGCATAGGCCTGAGTGGCTTGGACTTTGGACCCCTGAAGCTACTGAGAGGGAGTCACTGGCCACTGGGTAGACAGGTGCCAGACTTGTCACATGGAGGTAGTAAGGCTGGAATGGGCTGATGGTAAGCAGTAGGCCTGCTTGGAGGAGGGATCTCTGCCTGCCCCCTCGCTCTTCATGAACCTGGGAGGGAGGGCTGTTTGCTGAACCCAGACCCACCAGGTGAGTCATGGGCCCCCTGGGGAGAGAGACCTACAGGAGATTGGTCAGTTGGGCACTGCTGAGTCACTGTGAGCTCTAGCTGTCCCAAGTCCTGCCTGTTCCTAGCTGGGGCTGGCTGGGGTGGGTCCTGGAGGCCAGTGCCGCCAGGCCGTGAAGGGCAGCAGTGGGGTTGGGGGCACTGGGCTCTGGGAGACACGGGGGAGGGTCAGGGCCTCAAGGCTAGTGGGGCTCAGGGTTTTGGGTGTGTGGCTGGTGGGACCACAGGCTGGGGTTCAGGAGTTCTGGGGGGCTGATAGGCTCCTGTGGGCTAGGGCTACAAGGTGGCTAGGGCTACAGGGTGTCAGGGACACACATGAGTTCAGGCACCTGTGAACAAAGAAAAGAAAGCAAGTCAACACATCCCTGAGCTCCAAAATAATTGGCCATAGGCCGAGAGGCACTGTTGGGGTGGGCTTGTAAGCAAGGACACCAGAGGGATGGGGCAGGGTCAGAAGGGATTAGGTGAATGGGCCTTGTGTCCCTGGAGGGCAGGGAGGCGGTGGGGCAGTGGCATGGAGCCTGAGGGGCCAAGGTGGGGCCTGGGAATTGGGGGTTGGCACCAGCCACCAGCCACGTGGGATGGGTCTGGAGAGCTGGCGCAGGACCTGATGACCTAGGGTGGGGTCTGCCGCAGTGAGGTGGGGTGGAGAGATGGGGATGGAGTGTGAGGTATTGAGACCAAGGGGCAAGACAGGGGAGCATCCCAGCCCACGAGGAGCCTACCTCAAAAGAGGCCGCAGTCTTTGAGGTTTTCTTTGATGATGATGTCTGTGACTGCGTCGAAGACGAACTTGACGTTCTGTGTGTCAGTAGCGCAAGTCATATGGGAATAGATCTCCTTCACGTCGCGGCGCATGTTGAGCTCGAGGAACTGCACCTTGATGTAGTTGCCCGCGTCCTCGTACGTGTTGGGCCCTGTCAGGGAAAGGGGTGCTCTCCCTTGGTGTCCCCACTCCGTCCCGCGGCGGGAGAAGCGCAGGCCCGGATGACGGGGTTGGGGCGCCGCCTGGCGGCCAGGCCGCGGAGAGAGGGCTCTCACCGTCGTAATCCGGGAAGCAGATGCTGAGATGCGCCTTTTTGATCTTCTCGGAGAAAACGTCCTTCTTGTTGAGGAAGAGCACAATGGACGTGGTGGCGAAGTAGCGGTGGTTGCAGATGCTGTTGAACAGGTGCAGGCTCTCGTGCATGCGGTTCTGAGGAGGACAGAAGCTGTCGGGCACCGGGTGGGGGGTGGGCACGGGCAGCCGTCCCCCTGGGGCCGGGGCCCACAGGCTCTGGGGCACCCGGGGCCATCCTGCTGACAGCCAGCTCCAAGTCGGCCTCCCCCACGGCCGCCCTCAGCGTGGCTGCTGGGTGTCTTGTGTCCTCGTTCCGACTGTTCTGGAACGAGTGTCCGCTCTCAGACCCTCCCCGCCCCCGCAGCACTGTCTCCGGCTTTCCCTGGAAACACTCGGGCCCTGCTTGGCACCCACCACTTCGTCGTCCTCCACCAGCACCATGTCGTAGGCGCTCAGCGCCGCGATGAAGATGATGCAGGTCACACCCTCGAAGCAATGGATCCACTTCTTGCGCTCTGAGCGCTGCCCGCCCACGTCGAACATCCTGGGGAGCAGTTGGGGCCTGAACCCGCGCTTGGAACGCCATGGACGCACCCACAGGCATCCCTTTGCCTCCTAATGCTGGCTGGGGGGCACTCGGATGGGACTGGAGTGTGGGGTGTCTGCGGAGGGGCAGGGTCTCTTTGGGACAGGGCCTCTAATAGAGCGTGGGGGCGCTACACTTGCAGCCACAGTCCCTGAGTGAGGGCCAGGGCGCGGGTGCGGGGTTGTACCGGAAGTGGAGGTCCTTGAAGGAGAACTGCGTCTCGATGATGCCTGTGGTCTTGACCCTGGAGCGCAGCACGTCCTGCTCAGTGGGCACATAGCCCGGGGTGACTAGGCGCTCCAGGTCCGAGAGGTAGCTGCGGGAGACCGCGGGGTGTGGGTGGGTGCGGTGGAAGGGCATGGTAGGACCCCGCCCGCACCCCCGCGCCCCGCCTGCGCTCTCACTAGCCCGCCGAGTCGTTGAGCTGGTACTCAGAGGCGCGTTCGAAGCAGGCCTGGATACCCGAGTCCTTCCACAGCCGCTGGATGATGTCCGACATCTCCTTGGGCATCGTGCCCTCTTCGATGGTGTCCGCCATGTGCATCAGCTTCCGGGCGTCGTCCTGAGGGTGGGGTGGGAGTTGGTGGTGATGACCGTGGACTTGAGCCCAGTCTCGTGCCTCGAGTCCCCAGAGGCCCCGCTCAGCCAGTCTCCCTGCACACCTGGCGGGCAGAGTCTCCATACTGGATGTTGAGTGTAGTCATGGCGCGCACGATGGCGAGGATGGACTGTAGCGTGTTGCCGTAGATGATGGCGATGAACTCGAGGCACTCTTCTAACGAGTACCCATCCTGGTGGATGATCCTGTGGCCAGGGTGAGCCGGGTCAAGGCCAAGTGGACTGGTGGGGAAGGACAGACCCCGTGTGTGTGCCCACCCTCAGGGACCTCAGAAAGGGCAAGGGCACTCACTTCATCTGCTTGACAATGGTGCTCTTCCCGGACTCACCCGCTCCTGGAAGGGAAGCTCCGCCTCAGAGCTCCGCTTGCCAAACCTCCCTACAACCCTCCCCCCACCTTCTACACCCTCTACTCCCCCACCCCCCTAACCTCCCCTCCCCCGCAACCGGGCTCAGAAAATGGCGACCGGCAGACTCAAGGCAGGTACCAGTCCAAACCCCAGTTCCACCTGTTTCCCCCACCCCAAAGCAAGGTCCCGACACCCAGGAGGAAACACATTTGTAAATGCCAGGAGTGACGAGGGGGTGACAAGGGCAATCAACGACCTCAGCTGTGTTGGGGAGCCTCCAAGACCCCTGGTATTTCCATTCTTGGTTGTTCTGAAACCAAAATAAGGAGAACCTGGAGCGCCACAGCGTGGAAGGTTCTGGTACTGCATGCAGAGGATTATTGGAGCCGGGTCAACCCCCGCTGTTCAGGGGTTGTAGGGAGGGGAGTGTCTCCTAGAGGCTCAGAGGGAATTAGAGCCTTTGAGTGGGGGAGAAGACAGAGCTGACAGCCCCTCTGAGCCTGCTCTCGCCAGGGCTTTGGGTACAGTTAATGGGATTTCTGGCTTAGCTTCTGTCTCCCTGGGGTGCTCTGGCTTGGTCTCTCTGCCCACATCCAGATGCCTGACTGGGTCCTGGAGAGCCTGGGGTGGGACCTGCACTGCCTCTCAAAGCAGCTCCTTCTTCCCCTTGTGGAAGGTAGTGACCTGGAGGCACCACCTCAGTCCCACCTCTCCTCACCTCCCATGGGACCAAGTGCTTGGCTTTATCTATTCTACCCGGGGCCTTAGTAGCTCTAAAGAGGGACACCCTCTTTAGGTTTGCCCACAACAAAGCTCTGGAATCTAAGGGCCGTTGTCTGTGGATCTGGATGGTCCTAAAGGATGCCCACTCCTAGGAGGACTGTTATCTTCTTCTTCCAAGGAATCAGCCCTACTGTAGGGCTCCCAAGGAAGCCCCTCATTTTTGACCCCTGCCCAGCAGGGCTTCTCCAGAGGGGAGGGTGCCTAAGTCAGGACCCCCTGGAGAGGGGTTCCACGGGATACCCAGCCTTTCGGAGTCAGAGTACTGCCCACCAGGGCCAGGGCTCCCACTCAGTTCCCTGACCTGTCTTAGGGTCATTCTGCTTCTCAAGTCACCCATTTCACAGAAGAGCTACCTGCCTGCCCCCCACCCCCCGCCTGCGACCTGGTGGCAGCGCCCCCACCTGGACCCACACCCATACCCAGAAGCAGCAGTTTCACGGTTCGAGCATCCTTCTCAGCATCTTCTTTGAGCTTCTTTTCCAGCTCCCTTGAGTGCTTTTCCTCAGCGCTAGCCCCAGCCCCCATGGTCCCAGCAGCAGGCGAACAGGATGGTTGGTGGTTCTAGATGGAGGGGATCCCCAGAGCCGGGCTCGCCGGGCTCAGGTCTCCCAACACCCTTCTGACCCCAGGACTGGCAATCGACTGGCTTTCCACAGACCTGTGCAGGCCTGGTGGGGCTGCTTAGTGGGATTTGGGGGCCAGGGGTTCCCAAGAGCCAATGAGAGACAAGGACAGGTGAAGCCAGCTCAGCCCCCAGCCCTTCTAATCAGGCTGGCATGGCCCCAATCCCTCAGCTGCTGACTCTGCACCCCGCTCTATGAGCCCCAACCCTCTAGGAGAGACCATGGAGACAGTCCAACCCCTGCACCAGAGCAGGGAGACTGGTTCCACAGGGTCCAGACTTAGAAGGGAGAGAATAGGACCCTGAACCCCTGGGTGGGGGCAGAGAGGCGGGGCTGGGAGCAGGGAAGAGAGGGAGAAGCAAGCATGGAGCACCTGGGCCAGGCCTAGCACTGGACTCAATACTCCTCTCTATTTTGAAAGCTCACACGGGCCCTGGTGAATGGGTGCCCACGTCATCTGTCCCATTTTACTGACAAGGAAGGGGAGGCTCAGAGGGCCACACGGAAGCAAGTGGTTGAGAAGGGCTGGGTGACTCTGGACTGGGCTTCCATGCTCTGCAGAGTTAAGAAGGAAGGGAGAACATTGCATTTGCCTCGTACCAAAGGCTGGACCTGACCTGCACAGGGCCTCGACATACCTCCACAACTCCAACAGACTTGAGGGAGCATGCATGTCTGCTGTGTGTGCATGGGTGTCTGTCCTTTGCTGGCATCAACCAAAGCAATGACACAACATGTTTGTCCATGTCTGCACTTGTATGTACACATGTGCAGGTGTGTCTGTGTCGGGGGGCACATGTGTGCCTGTGCACACCAGACACACATGTGCATGTGTTCCTTTTTCCTCATGCCCACACATGCTGATGTGGAATAACATGTCCACACGGGTATTTGTGTATGGTTGTAAAATGCATGCACACAAGTAGCATGTGCATTAGTGTGCACGAGCCTGTGGTTTTCGCCTCTGCATGTGTGCTTGTGCACTAACACATGTGTATGCCTGTATGTGGGCACACTTGTGCGTGCCTGTGCCTATGTGTACAGATGTGTCTGCGTGCAGCAAAGTCTCTGACGTGCAGAGCTGGCCATGCTCTTCTAGAGAATATTTTGCAGGCCTGTCGTCAGGTAGGGAAAATTAGTCCCAGAGCAGGTGCTCCCAGGGGCACCGAGGAGGGATGCACTTCCTGTCCTTCTCCTGATCTGTTCCCTGTGGGTGCTCTGAGAGCTGCCTAAGGGCATTTGTAGGGCAAGCCTGCCTCAGCTGAGGGGGTCTAGGGTCTGCATATAGGTTCAGACAGGACGAGGAGTACTGCTGGGTGGAAGTTGTTCAATTAAGCCTAAAGTTTCCAGGCTCTAGAGTTCCCAACCTCCAATAGAAAGACCCAAACCCTGGGCTCTTAAGGCTCCCTCCAGAGACCTTGAGCCTTCTGGCCGGACTCTTCCTGGAAACCTGGCTGCCTTGTAGTCCTAAGCTCCGTTGCAGACCCAAGAAACCACGAGGGGGTGCCAAGGCCTCAGATCCTGAGCAGTGGAGATGGTCCTTAAGCCTATGGGAAATGGATGCTGGCTCCTACCAGAGGCTGGTGGCTTCCCATCTGCCCTATTGGGTCAGCAGGTCGGGTCTGTCCAGGAACAACAGATTATATGTCCCACCTTCAGCTTCTGGGTTCCACCCATCCTCCACCCCCCATGTAGTAAATGGGCCCCTGGGGTGGGGGTGGGGTGGTTCTACAGCCCCTAGGGAGTTGGGGCAGTGCAGGAGCCCAGGTCTGTTACACCAAGGCAAATCTGGTTTCTGCCTATTGGGTTTATTTAAAGTGGGGCCATCCACTGTCTGCCAGTCCCCCTCTGGCTCCCCTTGCCCACCAGATATGGTCATAAGCCCTGCTGGACCCACAGGCCTCCCCAGCTCTTAGCTCCCCCTGCCAGGACTTGACTCATTGAATTTGGACCAGGGCCTCCAGCCGTACTTTCTCCTGTCCAGCAGCATCCCACCTGCCCTGACCTTCCCCACCTGTTGGACACTTGCTCATGCCAGTCCCTCTGCTGAGAGCTGGCTGGAAGGAAGCAAGAAGGATGGGAATTTTGTCAATTTTCAGGGAGGGGAGCAGCCAGACTGAGAGGGCTGTAGCTCTGTCTTGTCAATACTGTCCTTAGTGCCTGCCACAAAGCCCACCACAAAACCAGGTGAGAAACGAAGGATCAAACCTACAAGTGAGTGAACGGAAGCCGGGCTTGCGAGAGAGGTGTGGGAACAGTGGTCAGGCCACGTGAACGGGGGCAAGAAGGACAGAATCTGGATGTTGGCTGAACCCCCATCCTCCCTCCCCTGCCAAGGAGAAAAGCCAAAGTCCAGTCCCAGAGCCAGTGTTTATTAGCAAGATGGAACCCAAGGGCAGCTGTGGCCTGGGCAGCCGAGGACCACTGGGAGCCCCTACCCAACTACTCCCAAAGCCCCCCAGAGCTATTTACACCCATCCTCTGAAGTGGTGGGCAGAAGGGAGCCCTGGGGGAGCCCCTGAAGGCCCCAGGCCTCCACCATTGCCCCCTCTCCCCTCAGCCCTGCCTGCACCTGCCCCTCTGCTATTCTCCCAGCCCCCAAGTCACAGTGGCCCAGAAAAAGCGAAGAGGAGGTAGAGTGGCCAGGCAGGGAGGGCTGGAAGTGTGCCCCACCCAGGCAGGGCTCCTTTGCTCCTGTCCCCAATAAATAGAGAATAAATACCCGGGAGGGGGCTGGCCTTGACTGAGTGTCCCCTCCCAGGCAGGGGCCAGCCTCCTGTGACGGCCCCTTCTTCCCTCCTCGGAGTGCCTCTGAGCCCCCACCCTCACTCCCAGTCTCCAAAGTAGTCCTCGCCTCCGCGTCTGTCTGCACTGGCGGCACAGCTTGAGAGCACATGCTGGCAAAGGTGAGCAGTCCGTGCCCTGTCCAGGGGTGGCGTGCTCCCTCCCTGCGTCCTGTAGATCCCGGCGGTGGTGGCCAAGCAGGTAGACTCCCAGCTGAGGCTGGGGACTGTGTGGTCCTGGCCTGGCCCTGCCGACTGGCTGGGCCCGGCTGGGTGGGCTCTGTTCTCTGCCGTCTCTGACCAGCATGGGTCTCAGTTTTGGACCGTGCTGCCGCTGAGGCAGTCTATGTACAACCCACCAATAAATACTGTCTTTGCAGGGGCAGGGTGTGTATAGAATATAGATATTTTATATATATATATTTATATATATATATATCTTTTATATTAAAAGGGACGAGGCCGAGGCCGGCCCATCGCAAGGCTCAGGCAGCTGGCCTCATGTGTCCGGCGGGTGATGGCGGCGGTTCCGGGGCTTCTTCTGGTCCTGGGGTTCGGGAGGCCTGGGTGCGCCTGGGGCCTCCCTGGGGCTTGGGGGCACGTGGCGCCAGTAGCCCTGGCAGTACTGGTGGATGAGGCCCACTTCGGGCTGGGCCAGCAGCTGGGCCAGCTCCTGGTAAGGGGGTGTGGGGAGGCCGGCGCCAGGGGGCGGTGGGGCGCTCGCCGCTGGCGGTGGGAAGAGGGCAGTGTGGACGGCGTCCCGGCCTAGGACGTGCAGTTGCACCCGCGTGACGACATGCTTGAAGTTGTTCTCGGTGGCCGTGCAGGAGTAGAGGCCACGGTCCCCAGGCTGCAGGGCGCGGAGCAGCAAGCCTTGCTCCGTGCGCAGGAAGCGGTCCTCGGCACGAATCTGAAGGAGCAGGGAGCCAGGGCTCAGAGCTGTGTGACCTCCCTGCCGCCAGGCTGGCTCCCAGAGCAGACCACCTCTGTGGCCATTCTGTGGAAGGGGCCCCCGTGTGGAATTTCCACGGAGCAAGAAAAGCCCACAGTAAGTTTCCACATACATCTGAACAGGGCATCCGTATGCCTCTCCATTTCGGGAGGAAGGATGGGGAGGAGATTCTGTACAATGAGAGAATGCTCGAGCACAGCATTTCTTTTTAATGGGAATACCCGACTGAAGTATCCTTATAGAATCTTCGCGTAGGGAGGCGTGCCCGGAACGCATTTCCATAAAACGAGGGCTCCTCCACGGAATTCCCACATCCTAGAGCTCGAGAGCATTGACGTTTCCACGCCATGGGGTATATACCTCCAGCAGAGCACACGAATGGGATTTGCATGTAAAGAGGCAGGCTTTTAAGTGGTTTCCATAAAATACAGAAATCCTAGCGTTTCCATATAACTCGATTCACCGAAATGACTTCCACACCGGGAGGGGAACTTGGAAGGGCTTTCTTAGAATGGGGCTGCCCCAGATGGGCTCCTAGAGCACTTTCCACCTACATGGACTTCCTACTCTGTGGGGACTCCCGCACCCACAGCGAGGACTAAGGGGTGGAGGAAATCACCTCACGGCGCCGGTCACTGGGGTCTCGCTGAAACAGCCACTTAACAGTGGCCTGGGGCGAGCGAGGCTGGCACTCGAGGAAGGCCGCGCTCCCTGCCACGCCATACTGCACGGACTCCACCGTATTCTTGTTGGCTGTAGGGCAAGAGGGCACAGCGTGAAAGCAGCATTGCCTCGGGTGGCCTGCAGGCCGGCACGGGGCAGGGGCTGAAGGGCACACACAGGGGCACCCATGCTGGAAGAAGGCAGGGCTAGACCACTGGGCATCCACTCCTTCCTTGAGTGGGTGGCTAAGGACAGCCCATCTGCCAAATCCCAAGCCCCCTTACCCCCTGGGTCATGTGAGAGTCCTTCCGGTGGTGGTGGTGGGGGGGGCTGGGAGCAGCTCCAAGGGCTGCACAGGGCCCCATGCTGGCACAGCACACTCACCATTGGAGTTAAACCCGCGACACTGCCTGATGGGGTTCCCGTGCCGGACATCCTGCCGGCGGCTCCGCCTAGATGAGGATAGCTCCTGATCAAGTATTTTCAAGAAAGCTGTGCCCCTGC